TAAACAATAATAATAATATAATAAAAATATTTCCCAAGCCATGTATGCAAGCAGCTTGGAGTAGCTTGTGGATAATGTAATTCGATAGCGTAACATGAGCTGCACGTTTCACAAGTGATTTACAAATGTATAATGGTAGGAATAGTAGTTAGATACAGTTCAACGGGCAATCAAAAGGGGGAATAAAACATAAAAATTTAATTATAAATAGATGTATACTGTTATGAGTTTAACGCTACTTAGTATAAATGAATGTAGTTTCATGTTACAATTTGAAGCCATTCTAGAAAGAAAAGGAGCGTAATTTAGATTTATTTTGATTTTTGTTTTTGGTGGTTACAAGGTCAGTCAAATTGACCAGCCTTGTTTAGAGTTAGGATCAAGAAAATAACAAATAAAATATAAAGTTTTTCTGAGAACAAACTTTTGAAATGTATTTAGGATGTTTCAGAGATTATGCAAAGGAAATTTTAGATTTTTGAGATGAAGAAAAGTATTTTTATTCTTGACATGAAAATCACTTTGCACATGGACTATTCAAAATAAATACTCGATATATTGAAGAACAAATTTTTTTTTAGTTTATTAAAAATACTTCACTAAAAAATATGATTTTTTGTATGTGAAAGGCTTATAATGTTTACTGAAAGACTGCCAAATTTCTTGAAGATATACTAACAATATCAAAATTAGCAGTATCAAATCTATAAAGACTATATGAGTACAAAAAGTCACGTGGTCAGTCAAATTGACCGAGCCCGTGTGGAGAGAGTTAATAGATGATAAATGTGGTCAATAAAACTCTGAAATGTTAACATAAGGGAGTACAAAAACTTTTTAGGTTTAAATGTATTTAAATATTGGCACAGGGTCAAAAATAGCTCTCATAAAGCAAAACACATAACAGGTTTAAAAGCTGTGTAAACTTTCCAATAATATTTTGCACTTTATTCATATCAAGAAAATTGTTCTATGTTTTTCAACTAACCATTGAGAAAAAACCAAGAAGAATTTTTGAACTAGAGTAGCTGCAGCAGCATTTGGATAAAGTTGACAAGTCCTAGCAACAAGCATGGCCCACGACACTCCACCAAGGTAACCTAACACATTAGAATAAACTCCATGACCTGAAAGAATATAAAAAGAAAACACACTGAATCAATATTGGTTTTTACAGAACAATTCAGCATTGTGTTTTAAATATGCCAAGTACCCTAAAAAAAACATAAAACTTTAAAACAGAATCAATATTGGTTTTTACAGAACAATTCAGCATTGTGTTTTAAATATGCCAAGTACCCTAAAAAAACATAAAACTTTAAAACAGAATCAATATTGGTTTTTACAGAACAATTTAGCATTGTGTTTTAAATATGCCAAGTACCCTAAAAACATAAAACTTTAAAACAGAATCAATATTGGTTTTTACAGAACAATTCAGCATTGTGTTTTAAATATGCCAAGTACCCTAAAAAACATAAAACTTTAAAACAGAATCAATATTGGTTTTTACAGAACAATTCAGCATTGTGTTTTAAATATGCCAAGTACCCTAAAATACATAAAACTTTAATAAAACACTTGATTTTTTATTTACAAAAAAAACTAATATACTAAAGATACCACAGCACAAGTTTAAAAATACTTAAATACTTGAGTTTTCTATCAAAAAATGTTTTGCAAAATAAAAATCAGCTTTTAAAAACAAACTGTATCATGATATTTCAGTATTCAATGTTTATAAAAAATGTTCACCAACTAAAAAGGTACCTTAAATTCTATATCTGTAACATATAAATAAGCACCATTTAGCACAAAGGGAGATCAGTCATATTTTTACTATCATACAGCAAATAAATAATAAAGTAGTCTTATTATATTTACATGTTGAAAATAATGTAATTAGGCAAACCAAAACACATACTGAAAAGTCGCACAGACATAAATAAAAGACACGTTTGCCATTTCTACCTCTTTTCCCATTTCAAAAATTATAAAACTAACTAGATTTCATGGAGAAGATTATGAAATAAACCACAAAAACTGTCTCATTCTGCCAGACTGCTATAGCACCTTGAACAATAGACTTATCCTATTAAAGTTATCAAGATTGCCCTTCTTCATGTTAGTCATTGGAAAGTTACATCCTGAGCTCTCTGTATAAATTCAAATACATATTCTACACATAGCTGCAAATATTAATGCATGGATAGTTTTTAACTGCTTATTTAACAGTTTAACAAAAATAGTAAAATACACATAAATGTACTATAGAAGTATTTAAAAGCAAAAGCCTGACATTTTTTTTTGGCAAAACTAGTATACAGTGTAACACTGATAAGTTGTTAGTTTTTATTTATATCTCTTGATTATAAATCTACATTCCCACAGGTGTCAACATGTTGGGGTATAAAACTTTATTATGTAACTGAATTTCATACATTTATGTTCAAATCAGATAACATTAAAATAATACTTAATATTGATCACATGAAACTACTTACGTTTGGCCCACAGCTTAATAGCTCTTAAAGAAAGCCTGAAACTTTCAATACATGGAACAAGGTTAAGAATTTCATCAGTTACTCTGCAACCTGAAACAGAACATACCATTACTGCTTCTGAAGCAAGAAAACTTTTTAAAATAACTGGTGCATGGGATCATGTTATTTTTGTTTATCCACATCTATGACAACCTTTCAAACTCTACACTTGAAAGAGTAAATAGCGTTTGATAACCACTGTCAAGAAATGAAACATAAAATATACTCACAATTTAATACCACAGACTCTCTAAAGCTGGGCTATTATAACTTAAAGTATGAAATATTCACACTTTTTGGTGTAGTTTTAACACATACCTTTGTACTCCCCTTAATTCCAAAAGAAAACCAGTTTATTTAGCTTAGTACACAGATTATATTGACCTGTTAGCATTGTGAGTAGTAATGTAAATATTATAACCTGCTGAAAACTACAGTTTCGAGCAATGTTAATTCTTATATGCCCAGCTAAGTCAGTGACAAACATTGTTACCCAATGCAGCTTTATATGGCCTTAATATGTAGAATATGACTTTTAAGATAAACACTTCCTTCTTTGTGCTGCTATTAATATGTACAAATTTGTAAAATTAGAAACACCGTTTTTGCTTGTTTGGATACACCCGTGTTAGTACACCCCATGTAAATACAAAAAAAAAAAAGTTCTATGATTGAAAAAGGACACAAAAAATGTCTTAATTTTATTTACAAATCATGAACTAGTTTTGTTCTCATCCAGTAATAAACTAATACTTTAATTTGCAAGTGTATTATGTTGTAAACATGATGTTGAATTGATAATATCAAGTTAATTTACAATAACTCTTTCTTCTATTCAACAAGATAGTTTATTTTAATACAAATATTAATAACAAGTTCAGATAAGAAAATACATAAATGATAGTTAAGTGCTGATAAAATAATTCAACATCTCCTACATTAAAAGTACTTTGGCAGAATTTAACAAAGATTTAGCATAAGCTAATGGCATCATGCCACTGAAGTTAAAAAAAATTAATCAATATAACTAGTTTAACAACTTTGCTAATGAACAAATCCTAGGTTTTTTTTTCTTCACAAACTTTCTTACCATTGAGACTTCTGACACATCGTGGGTCCAAATTTTTCAAAAGATTCACATCTCGCAAAGTTTGATCTTCTGGAATAGCTTTCAGCTCTAATCTTGCAAACAGCATATCCAACTGGAATAACAAAATGAATTAAGCAAAAACATACTTAATGCTTCAAGAGAGAAAAAAATATATATGTAAAATGAGGTTGAGAAGAATTTCATCCACTTTTTTAAGAATCATGGAATAATCATATTGATCTTATTTTGGTAAAATTAGAAGAAAATATATTAATATCTTATAAACAAAGTTTATAACACAGAGGAAAAACAACAGAAAATAAACAGATAAATTGTAGTTTATCAGTTAGATGATCTTGTGAATATTTGAACCTTAGAAACACAAAGGTGTTCAACAAAAAATATACAAGAGGCATGTTCAGTATTATTTCCTGGTACTACAGTCTTCAAGAAAATTAAAGTTTAATCTATTATTAAATTCACCTCTATTATACTTTTTATTAAAGATCTAATGTTAAAATATATTTGCAATAGTCTTATGTTTAACCTAATATAAATTTAAGTGACTGAAAAGTCTGAAACGTGACTATTAATGAAATAATATGCACATTGTTTACCTCAATACCATCAAATTTCATTTTTATCACAGGAACGTAAGCTTCTTCAACTGCCTGTAATATTCAAAAGAATATTATACCAGTTACTGTCATTAACACTTATGCAAATTAAGAAACAAGTTGGTATTTATTAGATAAGGTAACAAGATATTTATCTTCACAAAAATGAATAATTTCTATAGTCTAATGTATACTTTTTCATAACCAACCTAAAACCATCTAGTAATCTGCTGCCTTCCCAAAGTTTTGACTACTGACCAAAGGTAAGATAGCCAGTCAGCAGTACCCTACACCTGCCATTCATTCATGCAAGGAGATTGACTGTCACTTTCACAATGCAACCATAGTTTCAAGTGGGGGAAATATTTTGTGGTATTGCATAGATTTCAATGCAGCTCCACAATCCAGAGCTCTACTACATGGCTGAACCATGCCCTAGTTTAATTTGACAGCTAAAATCTTTAAATTCATTTTCACTCATGAACAGTTCTTAGAGAAATTTGCTTGGTAATTGGCTTTAAGTAATAAAGATATCTAGATCCCTATTAATACTAGCATTTTCTACATTTTATATTTATGATTTATTTGTATATGTAATGACCATTGACTCAACATTAACAGAATAACCCTCTCTGCATGAGCATCCTTTACTGTGCATGTCACAAGGTTATTAATGATTTACATTCAAAATTTAATTAAACTAATTTTTGTTTATGTTATACCAATTAGTATAGCATAAAAGTGTAGCTAATAATCTATATTTTAATAGTATATAAGGCAATATTTAAAAAAATCCTGAATTCCCCTAGTGTGAGAAATGTGACTTTTTTTTTCCCTAGGCATCCTCTCTTCTCTATTTTATTCACCACACCTCTAATAATTATTCAGTATAAAATCATCATTGCTCAGACAAGCCATAATATTTATAGCCTTCAATATTTTTTGGTTACAGAGCCATCAAATAGAAAATCAGACCCCTCTTGCCACACCCTCTCTTTCAGGATTTGTTAATAGTTCTCTTTTATGTTTAATATTATGTTATTTATAACCAATAGAAAGCCAAGATTTTCACCTATCATCTACAACGTATTATATTGCATCGTTTCTTATCAGAAAATTGTCAATTTCTCTTTTAGTACAAGTTTCATTCTCACAGGAAACATATCGACCAGCTTTGATCAATTTGTAACAGCTCTTGTCACATAGTTAGAAAGCCAGAAAAACTGTGATAGTTACTGGACATTGTCTGCTTTTAGCATGTTATTATTCTATGTTCTTTGGTGCATTATTTAATTAAATAAAAATTATTTAGTGCATTACTGCCATTAGTATAAAAAAATAGGGTTAAATGTCGTCAACAGCAAAAAAAAGAAGACCCGAGTAAGTACTATATTTCTTGTTTTTCATGTGTATTCTTTATTATTATAAAAGCAACTAAAATGTAAAAATAGGAATCTCTTCAGGTTAGTTAAAGTTAAATTAAGTAAAATAAATAATAATAATATAACAAAAATGTTTTACAAGGCACACATGTGAGCAGCTTGGAGTAGCTCATGGGTAATGTAATTTGATAGCGTAACGTGAGCTCCGAAGTGATTTACAACTTATAATGACACAAATAGTAGTAATACACCATTCAAAGGGTAATAAAACAATAAAATTTAAGGATAAATAGATGGGAACTGTTACGAGTTTAATGCTACTTAGTATAAATGAATGTAGTTTCATGTCACAATTTGAAGTCATTCTAGAAAAAAATGAAGAGTAATTTAGATTTATTTTGATTTTTGTTTTTGGTGGTTACAAGATAAGTCTAATTGACCAGCCTTATTTAGAGTTAGGGTCGAGAAAATAACAAATAAAATATACAGTTTTATTTAGAACAAACTTTTGAAATGTATTTAGGAGGTTTTAGAGATTACGCAAAGGAAATTTTAGATTTTTGAGATGAAAAAAGTATTTTTCATCTCAACATGAAAATTACTTTGCACCCAGACTATTCAATATGCTTACAGACAAATCTTTTTTTTAGTTTATTAAAAATACTTTATCAAAAAAATCTGATTTTTTGTATGTGAAAGACTTTTAACGTTTACTGAAAATCTGTCAAATTTTGTGAAGATATACATACTATATTAAAAGTTAGTAGTATCAAAACTATAACAACTTTAAACAAGTATAAAATGATCACATGTTCGGTCAATTCGACCAAGCCCATGTAGAGAGTTAACTGAAAAACCAATACAGCAGTAAAACCTACCCTGAGATCTTGAACTTCAGGCTGCTCTTTTAACAATTCCACAAATGAGGTGAAGAAGTCTGACCTGTAAATGTGTCGTGGTGCAACACATAAAGTATCTATATCAGCTCCTGGAAAAATTAGTTCATATTTTCATTATCTAAAATTTACTGAAAACAATAATAGAAACAAATTTTAGTTTAAAAAATAATCAAAATAAAAATTACTTACTAACTTTGAAAAATTACCAAAATTTGTAATAACATCATAACTTTTGCTTCAAATAAACTAAATACATGAGAAAAATGTAAATTCAGCTACTAGGGAAAAACTTCAATCAAAACTAATGCCATACAAGTAAAA